AGACTCCCTAATTACTTATACATCCCGGGGGGATCGATAAGCGCTCCTGTAACTCCTCCTTTAAGCTCTCCAACAGCTCGTACACCGAGGATGAACACCGATTGGCAACAGCTCAACAACTCTTTCTTTGTCTCTTCAACGCCGCCTAGTCCTACTCGACAGATCATCCCTGATTCTGAATGGTTTTCGGGGATTCAGCTTGCGCAAAGCGTTCCAGCTTCTCCAACGTTTAGCCTTGTTTCGCAAAAAAACCCGTTTGGATTCAAAGAAGAAGCAGCTTCTGCTGGTGGAGGTGGAAGCGGGTCGAGAATGTGGACACCGGGTCAAAGCGGGACTTGCTCACCGGCTATTCAGACAGGAGATGTTCCGATGTCTGAAGCCGTGGTGGCTCCTCCTCCAGAGTTTGCGTTTGGGAGTAACACAAATGGGTTAGTGAAAGCATGGGAAGGTGAGAGGATCCATGAGGAGAGTGGTTCGGATGATCTTGAACTCACTCTTGGAAACTCAAGCACCAGGTAATGAATTCTGAGAAAACAATTCTCAATATGTTTGCTCCAAATTTTACTTGATACTATATTTTTCTTGCCATTGTAATACTCAAAAGTTGTAAAACAGCTATTAAATATTCGTTTATCTGTCCCCTTGATCGCAGTCTTCTCTTCGAAAAAATTGTGTACCCTTATGAGTTATGATCGTATGATCGATCTCTGGTTATTGTTTCCCAACTCACCCGGTTAATTAGCTAAAACCCGGTTTAGATGGTCTAATCAAATGGTTAATGTTAACAATCATAGACGACGACTCACAATTTACGAAGCAAATCATGTTATTTAGCATCATCATCGTTTTTTTTTGGTGGGTAAACGCATCATCATCGTTATTGGTCAACAAAACAAAATACTTGATTTTTGTTCTTCTTCTTCTTTAGTCCTCTTAAGACTTGAGAGGAAGGTGGGTGACGAAAGTGCATGGTATCAGATCAAAACATCGATTTCTGTTTCAATAGTGTAGGACGACAAATTCTGATCTTATATTTTACAAAGTAATTTCTTTTGATTTAGTGATAATCCGTAATTTCCTTCTCAGTAATCAAACTTCTTATAACTTGTTATTTTTTGAACCTTTTTTTTTAATAATACTTTAAAAGAAGTAAAAAGTGTTCACCATAATGTCTTACAATAAGCCAACTCATATGAACCAAAAGGTAGTAGTGGTTTTAATAGCCCAATAACGGAAAGCCTTGTAGCAATATTCACAAGAGGCCCAAAACCAGAAGCCCAGAATAAGAGAAGCCATTTTTCAACTTAATCAGAAAAGTTGATAAACCCTTTTGCTCTCGTTTCTCTCGCTCGGGGTATTTCCGATTCCCATGACCTGAGAGAACCAGAAGCATGTCCGAAATTGAGCAAGTCGGGGCTTGAATTTGAATCCTTAGTTTTGCGGACAAGTCAGACCGGAGAAGTAGCACTCGAAATAGAGGTGATTTCTGCTTTCGATTGCACTTGACCTCACTGAGAACTTGTTGAGAGGTCTAGTGTTCATATTCTCCCTTTGTTTTCGTTTTGGTCTTTTTACAGGTTTACTGAGCTGCAAGCACTTGCCATCATGTCTAGGTGAGCTTCTGGGTTTGCTTTTTTTCCGTCTTTCCTGTATATTTTTGCTTATGTTTATATGCAAGAATGGGAAATACATTCATGGATACTGGCTAAAACAAAAGTCTGTAAAGCTTCATTACCAAACAAAAATGATTCTTGACCTCAATGTTGTGATACTTTTCATTATTCTGTTCGTAATTCAGAATAATGTCAACATTCCTTAACGAATCTCTTCAATTGTTACTCTCTTTTTTTTTTTTTCGAGAACTGAGTGTCAGTGTATGCTTGGCAGGGAGGATTTGAGTGATACACTTCGAATACTTGTTGCAACTGACTGCCATTTGGGCTACATGGAGAAGGATGAAATAAGGCGACATGATTCGTTCAAGGCTTTTGATGAGATTTGTTCTATAGCCGAGGAAAAACAGGTTTCATATTCAGTTTTTTCCGTTGTTGCCATGTGTGTTGGATCATCTAGATAACATATTATCTTAAATAAACCTTGTACAATGTTTTTTCCTAATTGTAAACCAATTGCGAAAGTTTATTTTCTTCTTTGTTTTCATTCTCTTGAAACAGGTAGACTTCTTACTCCTCGGAGGTGATCTTTTTCATGAGAATAAACCCTCTAGAACTACGCTAGTTAAAGCCATTGAAATCCTTCGTCGCCACTGCCTTAATGATAAACCAGTGCAGTTTCAAGTAGTTAGCGACCAGACCGTAAATTTTCAAAACACGTGAGACTCTACTCTTCTGCTATTTATCTAATCTTATCAGGAAACTGACCTAATCTTTTGGCACATTGACTCAACATATCTATGGATCTATGTACATCTTTCTTGTACACTTTGTTTAGCCGAGGCGTGGAGTAAGCTCTTATTCCTTAACATTATTTTCTGGCTACAGGTTTGGTCATGTAAATTATGAGGATCCACACTTCAATGTAGGCTTGCCCGTATTTAGTATTCATGGAAACCATGATGATCCAGCCGGAGTGGTACATTACTTACATCTACATGCTCTTGTTACGCAAACTCATTTGAATATATATATGTGACTGGATTATTTCGTGAATTTGAGTTTTTTCCTTCCTTAAGCATTTTCATCTGTTTTTCTTCCATGTCGCGTCTGGCAACAGGACAACCTTTCTGCAATTGATATCCTTTCAGCATGCAACCTCGTGAATTATTTTGGAAAGATGGTTCTTGGTGGTTCAGGTGTTGGCCAGATCTCTCTCCACCCTATACTTATGAGGAAGGTTGGTGCAAATAATCTGTAATCCGGACTCCTCCCCGGTTTCTGAGACTAACATTTAACAAATTAATATTCAGGGTTCAACAACCGTGGCTCTCTATGGTCTAGGAAACATAAGGGATGAACGACTCAATAGAATGTTTCAGGTAATCCAGAGGAACCTGTTGCTTTACAATTGTTTATTGTGTTAATATTCATTGGTTTCACAGACCCCACATGCTGTCCAATGGATGAGGCCTGAAGTTCAAGAAGGATGTGATGTTTCTGATTGGTTCAACATTCTGGTTCTTCATCAAAATAGGTTGATCCGATTGCAATACTATATTTTAGATAATTTTCTTACTCTTTCTATATCAGAAAGTTTGATTCTGTACTTATGACTTGCAGAGTGAAATCAAACCCCAAAAATGCAATAAGTGAGCACTTTCTTCCACGGTTCCTCGACTTCATCGTGTGGGGACATGAGCATGAATGCCTTATCGACCCCCAGGTCCATTGAGTTTTTGATTCTTGGAGTTCTTGCATTTCAATAAGAGTGAGGCACAATCTTCCTTGTCTCTCTGAGCTAAAAGCGTTTAAATTTTTGAAGGAGGTATCTGGAATGGGTTTCCACATCACACAACCAGGATCATCTGTGGCAACATCACTTATCGATGGGGAATCAAAGCCAAAGCATGTTCTTCTCTTAGAAATCAAGGTTCTTCAGCAAGCAATCTGAAACTTCATATTCAATTTGATCGTACTGCTTAATCTACGTACTTCAAGTATGGTTTTTTGCTTGTTTTTAATCAAGCATGTAAGCCTGAGTTACTTAGAATGTACGACTTGCAGGGAAATCAATACCGTCCTACGAAGATACCTTTGGCATCTGTGAGGCCTTTTGAGTATACAGAGGTAAAAGTTATCTTCCCTACATCTTATGGTGGTGACAGACTTCTTTGCTTACACATTTTCAAAGTGCAGATTGTTTTAAAAGATGAAGGTGATATTGATCCCAATGATCAAAACTCAATTCTCGAACACTTGGATAAAGTGGTAACTATTCCCTTTTCTCGTAGTTCATGTGGATATTTTGTTCACCTGCAGTCCTTTTTGATTAGGTTTAACAAGTCACTGAATGCATCTAATATTATCTACAAAATTGTTAGGTCAGGGAATTAATAGAGAAAGCCAGCAAAAAAGCTGTTAACAGATCAGATATCAAGCTCCCATTGGTTCGAATCAAGGTAATTTGTTTCCAAGTTCCTTCACACTGCTAGAAAGTTCTACCATCACTCTTTACTCTAATTTCTGTTAACCAAAAGAAAAGTTCCAGTACAAGTAGAGGCTATGCTTGGCAGTTTGATGCACGGACATCCATAGGCACAAACACTTATTTGTTATGTAACAATATCAAATGACCATATAAAGACTGAGATCTGGCTTAATCTTTCAGGTAGATTACTCTGGATTTATGACCATAAATCCTCAGAGGTTTGGACAGAAATATGTGGGAAAGGTACCTAAAAGTTAGTTACTGTAACATGATGTTCACCATTATCTCTTGAACGTTGGTTTCACCATTATTTCTTGAATGTTGGTTAACTTCTGAAAAATTCTCAAACACTTTCAGGTTGCAAATCCCCAGGACATTTTAATATTCTCCAAGGCTTCTAAGAAAGGTCGGAGCGAAGGTAGGGCCATTAGAGTAGCACAGTTGGACCTTGTTTTGCGTCCTTTTCTAGTGTGACTTAGTTATCATATATTTTGATCTTCTTTTCCACAGCCAACATTGATGATTCTGAGCGGCTTCGTCCAGAAGAACTGAACCAGCAAAATATAGAAGCTTTAGTAGCTGAAAGCAACCTGGTACGTCCTGCAACCTTCGTTCCTTATGATTCTGTTATTATGGTCAGCGGCTGTCGAATTCATCACAGAATGATATAGACTTGAATAGGTTACCAAATGGGCATGAGTACACTATGGATTGATCATTCTATCCTCTTGTGCAGAAAATGGAGATCCTTCCAGTTAACGATCTGGATGTTGCTCTTCACAACTTTGTGAACAAGGATGACAAACTAGCTTTCTACTCATGCGTTCAATACAATCTTCAAGAGACTCGTGTATGTACTTTTTTCCTTCATCTTTCAATACAACTTTTTTACGTGGCATGTCCTGATTATTGTTGTGATTATTCGCTTCCCATTTTTGCAGGGTAAACTTGGAAAGGATTCAGATGCCCAGAAATTTGAGGAGGACGACTTAATTCTTAAAGTGGGAGAGTGCTTAGAGGCAAGAAGATTTAAATTCAGTTATTTTCTGTTGTAGATTGTGGGGAGGAATAGAATATCGATCTGAGTTGCAATATTGTTTGTGCAGGAACGCTTGAAAGATAGGTCCACTCGACCAAGTGGTTCCTCACAGTTTTTATCCACTGGATTCACATCAGAGGTCTCCCTTCTTAGAATCTCCTTGCAGTTTCTGATTTTACATTCACCTCTATTCGGCCGTTGCTTTCTTACAATGATTTTTCCTACCTGCGAGTGGTACAGAATTTGACGAGAAGAAGCAGTAGCATCGCGAATGCTTCGTTCAGTGATGATGAAGACACGACTCAGATCCCTGCCACTAGAGGCCGGAGAGGCTCATCCACTGGTACTACATCTCGTGGTAGAGCTAAGGCCCCAACCAGAGGAAGAGGCCGAGGTAAGGCGGCCTCAACTGCGATGAAGCAAACCACTCTGGATAGTTCTCTTGGTTTTCGCCAGTCTCAAAGGTAACTTTTTGTCATCACGTTTCGCCAGTTTAGGGTAGGATTCAGGGACTTGGAAGGCATTGATTGGGATCACTAGCTAGCTAATGTTATGTCCCTGATTTTTCTTTCATAGATCTGCTTCAGCTTCCTTCAAAAGTGCTTCCACCATTGAAGAAGCCGATGTAGATTCTCCTTCAAGCGACGAAGCAGAGCCTGAAGATGTTGACAGGAGTTCGGTATGGACTATTCCTTACATGGTTATTAATTTGTTCACTACAAGTAGAAAACCCATGAAATTACTTGAAAGCTTTTGGCATTGTTATCCTCTATTTAATTTGAAGTAAAATATGCATTTTACTTATCATGATTCTTGTTTTCATGTCAATTAAAGGAGGAAGATGAGAACACTAAAGGCAAAGGACGTAAAAGACAAGCTACTACTAGGAGAGGCAGAGGTTCCGGGGCTTCAAAACGTGGTAGAAAGAACGAAAGCTCTTCTTCACTTCATAGTCTACTCAGTAGCA